GACAGGTCAGAGGGAAGGAGGAGGAGGAGGAGGGGGAGGGGGAGGGGGAGGGGGAGTAGGAGGAGGAGGAGAGGAGGAGGAGGAGGAGGAGGAGGAGGAGGAGGAGGAGGAGGAGGAGGAGGAGGAGAGGAGGGAGAGGGGGAGGAGGAAAGGAGGAGGAGGAGGAAGAGGAGGAGGAGGAGGAGGAGAATGAGGAGGAGAATGAGGAACGGGACCAGTGTAAACCCATGGCTGGGACAATCGTGCAACAATCCCGCAGTGTGAACAGGAGGAGGAGGAGGAGGGGGAGGAGGAGGAGGAAGCGGAGGAGGAGGAGGAGGACCAGTGCAAAACCATGGCTGGGACAACGGTGTGAACATCCTGCAGTGTGAATGGGAGGAGGACGAGGACGAGGAGGAGGAGGAGGAGGAGGAGGAGGAGGAGGAGGATGCAGGAGGGGGAGGAGGAGGAGGAGGAGGATTCAGGATGGGGAGGAGGAGGAGGAGGAGGAGGAGGAGGAGGAGCATGAGCATGAGCATGACCATATGACAAAGTCAACCAATACCACATGAGCTTAAATGCACCTTAAATTACGCCCCTGGGACGTCGGGATGCTTGCTCTGCACGGCTGAGGACCTTCGGCCACAGCCCTCGAGAGATTCGGTCTAAATATTCAATCCCAGACGAGGTTAGCTTACGGAGGCAGGGCTGACCAAGCTTGAGAATTTGATTAGCACCGAAACCAGCACAATCACGGCAATACCATAACTTTAATGGGCCATGAAATTGCATATTATGGGATTCATGAACGCACCCCCCCGCTATGTGGAGGGGGGGCTGGGGAGGCTTAAACCAAAGCACCCCGTTATAATGGATAGGCTGAAAACACTGAGTTAACCTCCATTCAACAGTGGTGGCTCTGGAGGCTGACCCTCCACATCTCGTGCAGCCCCGCCCCGTGTCATCCAGACAGTGGGAGGAGGAGAAGAGGGAGCACGAAGCAGCAGAAGGAGGGACGACGACGGGGGAGGACGATGGTTTCTCCCGCGGAGCCTTGCCCTCTGCGTTCATCGCATCCAGCGTCGACCTCAGGATCCTCATTCTGACCAGCCGCGCACGTCCCTCGTGCATCAACACTCGGTGTCGGACGGGGACGGGCAGCCTGGCCTCCGTAGCCGCCCATCCCGCCACCTCATCAACCACACTATTGCCCGTGATCATCCACCTCGGCGCTCGCTGCAGCACCACGTCGCGTCCCGTCAGGTGGGAGTTGACGAAGAAGACGCTGATGCTGCGCTCAGGTGCGGCGGCCAAGAGCTGGCCAAGACGGGCCCACAAATCACCATCGGGCCCTGATGGGGCCAGAAACTTCTGCTCGAACCAGCCCTGCACGACCGACTCACAGTCAGACACGAAGATGACCGCACCGACTGTGCACCGCACTGCCAGGAGGAGGGCACGGAGTTCTCCCCGAGCGACCACCTGGCGAGGCCCAGCGAGGGGACCCCTCACGGTGGCCTGCAGCTCCACCGACGGCTCCAGCTGGGTGAAGACCGCAATGCCCAAGCCCACTCTGCGGAAGGCCGAGCTGCTGGTGTCGGCGCCGCCGCTGGCATCGCCAAACACCAGCAGCGGCTCCTCCACGGTGCCGCCGCCCAGGAAGCCCTCGGCCACGTCGTCGTTGGTCGTCGTCGTCCAGCACTCCTCGGACGGGGGAGGTGGTACCTCCGTCCAAGGCTGAGGCATCAGGCCTCGTAGCCAAAACGCCTCGTCGGCGTCAGATTGCACCAGCGCCTGCGAAACCAACTCCTCGGACTCGGTATATGCAGAACTACCCGTATTGCATTCACATTCCCAGACTCTGTGCTTCAACGTCTCGGCGTACTTGCCACAACGCCCACACCGCTCAGGACCACGATACTTGGGCATCTCCGCTTTGCGCCTGGCTCTGGGCCAGACACCACCGACTGCACACGAAACCATGACTTCCCCCAGTCGGTGCCCGATCACTGGGACTGCCGAGAGCTGATCGATAAGAAGGCGATAAGAACGACAATCAGCTCCCCGTTCGAGGCCCCCTCCAGCATAGTGACGGCTCGCTCCCACCCACAGGCGAGACCGAAGCGTATCAGCGAAATCTGCCAAAAAGCCATCGTGCCTGTCGAGCGCGTCGATGCCGCTGTACATGCTGTCGTCGAAGCGCCACTGGTCGCCCTCGAACGGGTGAGGCGATGGGATGGTCCACCCCGTTGCCTCTTGTACTCCCCATCCTGCTTCTAGCAGGTGCAGGACCACGGTCGACAAATGGCCGCGAACATGACGAGAACGCTGCTATGGAGGTAGGTGCATCATGTGCTGGGACACTGACGTCCAAGCCTGCTGGATGCCCTTCCTCATGTCAGGATGCTCGCGCCACGATCGCAACCAGAGGTCTAAACATTCCACAGGTAGTTTGATGCCAGGGTCGTGATCACCTGCACGCAGCGCCAAGAGGGTGGTGAGGCACCTTCCTTTTGTCGCCGCAGCGCAGGACATGCCAAGTTTCCGCCTGGCTTGGGTCATGCGCGCGCCAAACGTACCAACAATCTGATGGCCGTAAACACCTGCTGCCTGTGAACCTTGTTTTTCCAACCGTCGCGTGATGGAATACTTCTTTGACGTAAAAGCAAAACGTCGGATCTTAGCACTCATACCCTTGCTTTTCCTGTCACGCTTAGCCCGCGTCTGTCGTGCCAACCGTGCGCCACAGGAGAGATCCACGCCAAGATATCCAGCCTGCAACGTAGGAAGTACTGTATAACCTGCACGTCGCACTGCCCGTGAAATCCACTCGGCATCGTGCAGCTTGGCGCAGACGATGACTGACTTGGGCGAGACGGTCAACTTCTGTGCCTTTAGTGCCCTGCAGGTGGCAATCAAACATGCTGCCATCTTGATGCGAAGATCTTTTCTCGAGCCACTCATAAACTGCGATAAATCGTCGGTCCAAATACGATGGCTAAGCCTCGGGTGGGCCACCGTGATCTTGGAGAGGACATGGCGCGTCAGGCATCGCCCGAAACGAGTCCCAGAGCGGAGACCCTGGACTATGCTCCGAGTAGGTTGGAATGGCTGAGAGAAGGCTCCCAGCTGCCCCAACGTGCGCATGGCGACGCACATCAGCAGCTCCAACTGAAGAACTCGAGCTGGGAAGGACAGGTTGAGAGCACAACGTGCGAGACCTGTCCACTCTGTGGAATCGCAGAACGACTGGATGTCCATCAATCCCTCTGCACACGGTATCTTCAACTGATGCGATACTTCCTCTTGTACCGCGCGTGCGAAGGCTTCTCTCAAACTGGAATTGCCACGTATAGCCGCATCCCAGTGCTGCTCGGTGGAAGTGGACCATGTACGTACAAGCGGTTCTCGTATCATGCTCCATACTCGCCCAAGCCTTGCCACTAATCCGATTATTCGATCTCCCGAAACCTTTTTCGGCAACATCCGCCCGATGATAAGTAAAACTTGTCCTGGCCAACACCCGTATTGTTCGCAAGCTTCGAAAAGGATTGCCAATTCTGCCAGCGCCGAATCAGGTAATCTTTCGAAGTCCGTGGGGGGTCATCATATCAACTCCAAGGCCAGCCTTGGCCTTCATCTGTCGAAGCGCACGTCGGGTATCTGAGACCGAAATCATGGGCAAAACCTCGTCCACCGCCACTTGGTGAACAGAATGAAATGCATTCAGAACTTCCTCTTCATTCAAGGCCGACGGCGACCAAAGAGAGTGCCAATGCTTCGACTTCGCGTCGATGATATCCTTGGGATGGTATAACACTTGGTCGCCATGTTCATAGTCAAGCCCTGGAAGTGCCTGCCCGTGAAGAGACTTATGCAAGGTACCTAAGGACTCCGACTGCACGAAGAACTCCTTGAACTCTGCAATCGAACCACTGACTGCCCGTCTCTGTGCACGGTTCATGACACGACGTGAGATATTCTCATAACTCTGCAAAACTGGAAGAGAGCGGGTGCCAGCTGTCCTGATGATCGTGATCCACTCTTCCCACGGCGGGTCCTTGGCGGCGATCAGAACCTTGGCCGCCCCTTCTGGCCTATCATCGAGATGCCGATGACAGGTTTGAAGATAGCGTTCCAGCTGCTTGGCTCCATTCCCTCTGGAGCGATGAAGTGCGATGGCATTTAAGAGAGTGTGGAGTTGGGTCCACCAAGCGCTCACTCGGTCACGGAGCGGAGTGGTCCTGCTTTTCCCAGGCATCTTGACTGTCTGCACTGTGAATCTGGCCCCTTGAGCACGAGCTGGCCCAGGAGGGACAGGCACATTATGATGAGCAGAAATACAGCGTTCAACAGACGACACCCATGATGCATATAACCCAGATATCACTGCCAGGTGCGCTGGCCTGAGCCGAAAGGCTACGGACTGATGGAAAGCAGGAGCAAGGGACTCGAGCGAGAAACCACCAGGCGTGAAACCCACAGCTCTTCGACATTCATCCCACAACTCAGGAGGTATGGCAAAGGACGGCTCCTGGTTAGTGGGGGGGGGCTCCACCGTGCAACACATCCTGACTAGAGGTTTCCTGGGAATCCAAGGCTGGTGGCTCAGACGGAGACGCGGGATGGCCAATCGTGTCCGAAGGTCCTTCGGGCATACTGGCAAGATCGGGACCCGCCTCTTGCGAAGCAACACTAGGACCACCGCGCCCCAAGCCCCCAGCCACAGTGGGATCCCCAGGAGAAACCGACGAATTCGAAAAGACTTGGCACACCGACAAATCCGAGCAAAAGTTGAGCTCCTGAGCCCAGGGGTCTTCCTCGTCGGGCCATTCATCAAAATCGATTTCTAAACTAACAGTTCCTGGCACCCTATCCCCCGCGGGCGGAGAGGCGTTTTCCCCTTCTTCATCCTCGGCGGGGGTCGCACGCTGGGATTGCTCACAACAATCACTGAACAGGCTATTGAATTTATCAGCTCGGGAGGCTACGGCTAACTGATGCTGCACACTCCTCTTAGC